CGTATCTTGCTATGATACGTTCAGCTCTAACAGTGCGCGTGTTTAGAGTTGCGATAGTGCGGAGAATTTCCTAAGTCATCTTTAGCTTGAGTAGCGGGAGGAGACCCGGATTGTGTTATACCGAGGTGTCCATAGTAGTGGGTTCTGATCGATTTATCTTGGACGGTGAGAGAACTGGCAAGGTATGGATATCAACGGCGTCTCAAAGCTTTAGATTGCGTATTAGAACGAACTTGGACGAAGACTAATTTCGTTCTTATAAGAATTCTGTTCAGCCGACAATGTGCGTCGTAATCACAGCCTCAAACACTTGATCTCTAAGCGTTGAGTAATACTCCATGTACAGTTTGCCATTACCAATGTCAATTGCGCTCCATCGATATTTGAGAATCTACACACTATGCGAAGAATCCATCAAATTTCTCGTCTTTTCGAACAACCCACTCTTCAAATAAAACAATCCACGGTTGATCCGTAGAGTGAGAAAGAGTGGGTGTATATTAAGTGATCCCATTCTTTTCAATCGTACTGCACTATACGCTGCTTCTTGTCATCATTACCTCATTTTGGTGAGCTTCTATAACCAATGCCATCCTTCTGCTCACGCTCTAAGTGACTGGTACGGAAGCTCTTCGGCCTGGGGCCCGTAAAAGTGGATATTCTTTGACAATCACCTCGTTGGAGTCTACTATTTGTCCAGTCTACAGTAACTTCTGTCTGGACTAATCCACAGGACTGTGACTAAAGACTATTCTGTATCAACGTATTTTACATTGACTATGGAGTTACACTACGTACTCGTCAACGAAGTAGTAACTAATGCCGTATCAAAGGAAGCAATCTGGTGGGAACAATGAGAAACGTGATGTAATATAATACAGTACTAGCCATAAAACTGAATGTAACAGTATTTAGTTGTTAATTGTCTATAGTATTGTCGGCTAGTTGAGGGAGGGCAAAATAAACTAGGTGGAATAGAGCATCTTGAAAAGACCAGGATATTTGAAAAAAAAGAGCGTGCCACACCTCTGGTGATTATATGATCCCTCTTACTATTACCTCATGGGTTTTGATGGCTCTAACGGGTCATAGGATTTCCGTACATGCTAGTACCTACTGAGTGAACTAATTCGACAAATTGACTGTGGAACCGAAATATAAACACAAGCCCATGATCTCTTTCCGGAAGGGGCCAGCGGTAGTTTATTACCCACTCAGTCTGGCGGGCTGTTTCGATATGAATATACAGCTGGTCATTAATTTGACCAACTGCTTGGTCTGTGTTTAAGTCTACAATAATACAGTATCTTTTATGGTACTCTCTGTTTCATTTGCTGAATTGGTGCGGCAGAAGTAAGTTACGTTTTAGAGTATTTCTTAGGTTGCGTATGCCAATTCAAGTAGTTTGGCTTCTCAGCGCTACACAACACATTAACACAGACCACCTAGAGCTACCTTTCATAATGTCAAAAGGAAGTATTATTTTACATTATCACATGGCCGTATCAGGTTGTTGAAACATTTTCCCCATTCTGTTTTGGCCACTCCGTTGCGAATACACCCAATTAATCTGTCTGACCAGTCCCCAAGAATTTCGACGAAGGCATCGACTAGAGCTTAGGGTACATAAGCCATCGTAAGGAACTGATTAGCCTCTATTTACTGGCTGTCTGTACACTGTGAATGTGCAGAGATTATACATGCTAATAGGATAACAACATGGATGTCACCGTTGGATCGATCCGAGCACTTGATTTTCAAGTAGACATGGTAGAAACTATTAGATGGGCGACTTCACTGACATTACCGGACCTTGCCAAAGATACGGTGAAGACTTCGGTTTATTGGATCTACTAAAGAGTGTTCACTCCAGTTTTATAACCAGGTCAACTTTCGGTCACATTTTCGTACTACCGTTTTGCACACTATGAGTTGAATCTGGTGAATCTATGATAATCACGCTTAAATAAGCATTAGAAACCATCCAATTGGACTTCATTGTGCAACCAAGTGCTACTGTTTGCACTAAACTACAAATTGTCATTGATTATTCTTGAGCAGCGTGGCTATCATTTATGTGATGCTGAGTTTGACTTCACGAATTGAACTAATGGCACTGTGATTGAACTTTTCGTCTCCACTGGGGAATTTCAATAATTGCTCATTTACCGTCCAATCTTGATCGACTTGACTAATTCACGTCAATCATACGCCAGTGGGGATTTAGACTCCAGCAAAACCTTCACTTATCTCGCTTGGCAAGATTGACCACGTTTTGGCCAGCATTGACCCACGAACAAACCAGACGTCGGTCTACAGAGCTGCAGACACATGTGGGCCACCGACATTGGTAGCTTCAAATAGTTGATAGCTCGTTATAAGTACAGTCGGTACCACAAAATATAAGATTCACTGGCATTTGCCAATCGTAAAAACGCGACTGAAGACACTGATTCTCGATACTTTTTGTCAATATCTCAAAANGTACTATATCAGGCGAGGCAAGACTTTGATCACCCGTGCCGTTATGACACGGGATGGCTCATTTCCTTCCATAGGCTTCAAGGAGGGCTATTGGATCTCCGAAGGATCCCTTGTTATCTTCCTGATAGCTTTCTCACTCGATTTAATCAGCGAGATGGTAGTGCATCCGTCATTAGAATGGATAATGTCTCTGTTAATGCCATCCGAAATGGTCTGAACTACTAGTATCCGAAAAGTTTTTGAATGAGATGTATGGAATCATCAGACAGAAGGATCGATTGATATAATGAATAACAAACTCTGAAAATGAATATGAAACGAGGTGGGAGCAGCTGTTCCACAGCGATGCAACGGAGTGTTTGAGTTACTACTGAATCTTGAATGTTACAATACCTACATGTTACATACAAACATGGTGGAAAATGTGGAAGTCACTCATCTGGGCCAATCTCTGTTAACTCTATGTGCCCATATTCCCTCCACATGTGCCTATCTACACGACTGTCGGAGTTTTTGCTTCGTCCTCGAGGTAGGGCAACTAAGGCTCTTTCTACTGCTTTCGTGTGGAGCACTTAAAATGACCGTCAGCGTGTGGCTGATAGGCTGACAGGTATATTTTACTTCCAAGCACAGTACCTTGGGACCACCCCACTCTTGTTCTAGTATAATAATAAAACTACTTAGACACTATGTTCAACTTTTGGCTCTGTCACCTTCAGTTCCGTCGTCTTTCCACCAGATTGAAAGATCAATGGGTACAGAGTCTACAGCACTCTTCGACAAATGGGAATTGGTGTTTTCTCCGCCCCTATTCCAATAATTAACAGGCAAATAGCTCAAAACTGGGAGAGTGTTCGCAAGGCTACAGGTTGTTGAAAATGAGTGTTCGTCGGACAAGATCAAGAGACCGATGTTATCTTTTTATTTTTATGTAATATTTGGCCACAGTTTGTTGTCGACGTATTTACCTCCGTGATTCTTCAACAAAACCTCTCAATTGATACTTTTGTTTTATCAATCAATCTGATCGAGGTTTAGTTGTTGGATCGGTAAATGGCTAGTTCAGTAATTTCGTCACATGCTTGTAATATCCAGTTATGCGTAGTCGGAGGCGCCGTTGGTGCTGGAACCCACATCTCCATTATCGGGTTTTGACTTGTCTTCAACTTGCTTCACCACCATATTGAACACCGCGTCGAACGATTTGGGCTCTTGATCCCCCAGTTTGGTTGTTTGCTGTTCCAGGAGATAGTCTGTTACGGCGCCAAGTTTTCGATTGGTCTCGTAAAGGATCTCCGCAAGTTTTGCAATCTCCTCCAACTCGTGATTGGTCTGTGCTAGCGACCGACGCGCAGCCGACAGCTCTTGCTCGTATCTTGCTATGATACGTTCAGCTCTAACAGTGCGCGTGTTTAGAGTTNGTACTATATCAGGCGAGGCAAGACTTTGATCACCCGTGCCGTTATGACACGGGATGGCTCATTTCCTTCCATAGGCTTCAAGGAGGGCTATTGGAATTCCGAAGGATCCCTTATTATCTTCGTGATAGCTTTCTCGCTCGATTTAATCAGCGAGATGGTAGTGCATCCGTCATTAGAATGGATAATGTCTCTGTTAATGCCATCCGAAATGGTCTGAACTACTAGTATCCAAAAAGTTTTTGAATGAAATGTATGGAATCATCAGACAGAAGGATCGATTGATATAATGAATAACGAACTCTAAAAATGAATATGAAACGAGGTGGGTGGAGCTGTTCCACAGCGATGCAACGGAGTGTTTGAGTTACTATTGAATCATGAAAGTCACAATACCTACATATTACATACAAACATGGTGGAAAATGTGGAACTCGCTCATCTGGGCCAATCTCCTGTTAACTGGATGTGCCCATATTTCCTCCGCATGTGCCTATCTACACGATTGTCGGCGTTTTTGCTTGATCCTCGAGGTAGGGCAACTAAGGCTCTTTCTACTGCTTTCGTGTGGAGCACTTAAAGTGACCGTCAGTGTGTGGCTGATAGGCTGACAGGTATATTTTACTTCCAAGCACAGTACCTTGGGACCACCCCACTCTTGTTCTAGTATAATAATAATAAAACTACTTAGACACTATGTTCAAGTTTTGGCTCTGCCACCTTCAGTTCCGTCGTCTTTCCACCAGATTGAAAGATCAATGGGTACAGCGTCTACAGCACTCTTCGACAAATGGTAATTGGTGTTTTCTCTGCGCCTATTTCAATAATTAACAGGCAAATAGCTAATAACCGGAAGAGTGTTCGCAAGGTTACAAGTTGTTGAAAATGAGTGCTCGTCGGACAAGTCAAGAGACCGATATCTTTTTATCTTTATGTAATATTTGGCTACAGTCTGTTGTCCACGTATTTACCTCCATGATTCTTCAATAAAACCTCTCAATTGATACTTTTGTTTTATCAATCAATCTGATCGAGGTTTAATTGTTGGATCGGTAAATCGCTAGTTCAGTAATTTCGACACATGCTTGTAATATCCAATTATGCGTAGTCGGAGGCGCCGTGGGTGCCGGAACCCACATCTCCACTATCGGATTTTGACTTGTCTTCAACTTGCTTCACCACCATATTAAACACCGCGTCGAACGATTTGGGCTCTTGATCCCCCAGTTTTGTTGTTTGCTGTTCCAGGAGATAGTCTGTAACGGTGCCGAGTTTTCGATTGGTCTCGTAAAGGATCTCCGCAAGTTTTGCAATCTCCTCCAACTCATGATTGGTCTGTGCTAGCGACCGACGCGCAGCCGACAGCTCTTGCTCGTATCTTGCTATGATACGTTCAGCTCTAACAGTGCGCGTGTTTAGAGTTGCGATAGTGCGGAGAATTTCCTAAGTCATCTTTAGCTTGAGTAGCGGGAGGAGACCCGGATTGTGTTATACCGAGGTGTCCATAGTAGTGAGATCTGATCGATTTATCTTGGACGGTGAGAGAACTGGCAAGGTATGGATATCAACGGCGTCTCAAAGCTTTAGAATGCGTATTAGAACGAACTTGGGCGAAGACTCATTTCGTTCTTATAACAATTCTGTTCAGCCGACAATGTGCGTCGTAATCACAGCCTCAACCACTTGATCTCTAAGCATTGAGCAATACCTCATGTACAGTTTGCCATTACCAATGTCAATTGCGCTCCATCGATATTTGAAAATCTACACACTATGCGAAGAATCCATCAAATTTCTCGTCTTTTCGAACAACCCACTCTTCAAATAAAACAATCCACGGTTGATCCGTAGAGTGAGAAAGAGTGGGTGTATATTAAGTGATCCCATTCTTTTCAATCGTACTGCACTATACGCTGCTTCTTGTCATCATTACCTCATTTTGGTGAGCTTCTATAACCAATGCCATCCTTCTGCTCACGCTCTAAGTGACTGGTACGGAAGCTCTTCGGCCTGGGGCCCGTAAAAGTGGATATTCTTTGACAATCACCTCGTTGGAGTCTACTATTTGTCCAGTCTACAGTAACTTCTGTCTGGACTAATCCACAGGACTGTGACTAAAGACTATTCTGTATCAACGTATTTTACATTGACTATGGAGTTACACTACGTACTCGTCAACGAAGTAGTAACTAATGCCGTATCAAAGGAAGCAATCTGGTGGGAACAATGAGAAACGTGATGTAATATAATACAGTACTAGCCATAAAACTGAATGTAACAGTATTTAGTTGTTAATTGTCTATAGTATTGTCGGCTAGTTGAGGGAGGGCAAAATAAACTAGGTGGAATAGAGCATCTTGAAAAGACCAGGATATTTGAAAAAAAAGAGCGTGCCACACCTCTGGTGATTATATGATCCCTCTTACTATTACCTCATGGGTTTTGATGGCTCTAACGGGTCATAGGATTTCCGTACATGCTAGTACCTACTGAGTGAACTAATTCGACAAATTGACTGTGGAACCGAAATATAAACACAAGCCCATGATCTCTTTCCGGAAGGGGCCAGCGGTAGTTTATTACCCACTCAGTCTGGCGGGCTGTTTCGATATGAATATACAGCTGGTCATTAATTTGACCAACTGCTTGGTCTGTGTTTAAGTCTACAATAATACAGTATCTTTTATGGTACTCTCTGTTTCATTTGCTGAATTGGTGCGGCAGAAGTAAGTTACGTTTTAGAGTATTTCTTAGGTTGCGTATGCCAATTCAAGTAGTTTGGCTTCTCAGCGCTACACAACACATTAACACAGACCACCTAGAGCTACCTTTCATAATGTCAAAAGGAAGTATTATTTTACATTATCACATGGCCGTATCAGGTTGTTGAAACATTTTCCCCATTCTGTTTTGGCCACTCCGTTGCGAATACACCCAATTAATCTGTCTGACCAGTCCCCAAGAATTTCGACGAAGGCATCGACTAGAGCTTAGGGTACATAAGCCATCGTAAGGAACTGATTAGCCTCTATTTACTGGCTGTCTGTACACTGTGAATGTGCAGAGATTATACATGCTAATAGGATAACAACATGGATGTCACCGTTGGATCGATCCGAGCACTTGATTTTCAAGTAGACATGGTAGAAACTATTAGATGGGCGACTTCACTGACATTACCGGACCTTTCCAAAGATACGGTGAAGACTTCGGTTTATTGGATCTACTAAAGAGTGTTCACTCCAGTTTTATAACCAGGTCAACTTTCGGTCACATTTTCGTACTACCGTTTTGCACACTATGAGTTGAATCTGGTGAATCTATGATAATCACGCTTAAATAAGCATTAGAAACCATCCAATTGGACTTCATTGTGCAACCAAGTGCTACTGTTTGCACTAAACTACAAATTGTCATTGATTATTCTTGAGCAGCGTGGCTATCATTTATGTGATGCTGAGTTTGACTTCACGAATTGAACTAATGGCACTGTGATTGAACTTTTCGTCTCCACTGGGGAATTTCAATAATTGCTCATTTACCGTCCAATCTTGATCGACTTGACTAATTCACGTCAATCATACGCCAGTGGGGATTTAGACTCCAGCAAAACCTTCACTTATCTCGCTTGGCAAGATTGACCACGTTTTGGCCAGCATTGACCCACGAACAAACCAGACGTCGGTCTACAGAGCTGCAGACACATGTGGGCCACCGACATTGGTAGCTTCAAATAGTTGATAGCTCGTTATAAGTACAATCAATACCACAAAATATAAGATTCACTGGCATTTGCCAAACGTAAAAACGCGACTGAAGACACTGATTCTCGATACTTTTTGTCAATATCTCAAAATTCTTCACTGCAGAACTTGGAAAGTCCTCTCGCAAAATGACTGAAGAAAAAGAATTCTGCCACCTGCAAGCGCGGCCACCCACCCCTCTCGAGCTGCACCCATCCCAACGTGTCGACCAGGATAAAGGAGTGCATATTCGGGATGGAGTGGTTACGCAACAAAGCCCTACTGCAGTCCCGTACCATAGCGCTCGTTGCTGGAGTTTCCAAAGAAAGATGTTGGTATCGGTGGGTGCTATTTTGTCTTTCTTGGTAATGTGAGTACAAGATACAAGAGAATAGGTGAGCACGGATCTAACTTTAATCTGAGCTAGCACACTGGCGACTTCAATCTATATTGCGAGCATCCCTGGAATCATGGTCGAGTTTAATGTCGGACGAACGCTGGCCATATCACCGGTCACATTCTACGCAATGGGCTTCATATTTGGCCCTATGTGCACCTCTGCTTTATCAGAGGAATTTGGAAGGGAGTGGATCTATAAGATCTCGCTGTTACTCCACCTAATCTTCACGGTCGTGGCAGGTTCTGCAAAAAACTTTGCCACGATTGCCGTGTGCCGCGCGATTTCAGGTCTTGTGGGCTCTCCATCGGTTACAGTCTTTGCAGGAGTTCTCAATGACCTGTGGAAAATGCCCGAGGACAAATTCGCAGTTCCCCTCTTTGTACTCTATGGACTAGGTGGAGCTGTTGCCCCAGAACTTGGTCCTGTGATCGGCGAGGCCATCGTGGCTTCCCATGGCTGGCGAAGTACCTTCTGGCTGACAGCCATTCTCGTGGGGACTTGCCTGGTTTCCATGATGTTTGTGCCGGAGACGTTTGAGCCCGAGATCAAACGGAAGACGATGAACCTTCCGCGCGACGATTGGCGCAAGGTTTTTGTCGCAGCATTTGCGCGACCCATTCGTATGCTTACGGTGGAGCGCATAATCTTCCCTACTGCATTTGTCGTGACAATGAGTCAAGTCGTTCTTTTTATACTCTACGCGGGATACCCGATAGTGTTGCAGAGAACTTATCAATTTTCGTCTTACCAAGTGGGATTGGCATTCTTGCCGCTTTTCGTGGGATCTTTGCTGGCAGCACCTGTGCTGTCATTCCTGGATCGACGTAAACGTGCACTCAATAATGCCACTCCGGAAGATAGCCTTAATGGGGCTTTTCTGGCGGCCCTTCTTCTTCCAGCTAGTCTACTCTGGTAAGTGGACTTCCCAAGCTAACCAGACTAAAAATTTAAACCGGGCGACAGGTTGGCATGGACAGTTCGTCCTACAATTCACTGGATCTGGCCCATTCTCGCTGGGGTTCCCTACGGACTTGGATTTGCCCTATCACAGGTGAATATTCTCCCTATATCGAATGCATGGAAGAGTCAAATCTGCTGACATGCGCAATTCAACAGCTGGTCTACCCGATCTACAAGAATAAAGTTTACGGCGCTGGGTTGGGAGCTTCTTCTTTCGCCATCGATGTGTTCATGCGATACTCACTCTCCTGCGTATTTCCGCTTTTTACGATTCCACTCATCGATCACATCGGCTTCGACTGGGTAATGACCACATGTGCGTTGGTGATGATTGCACTTATACCAGTACCTTGGTGGTTACAGAAACATGGTGCCCTGTTGAGAAGGCAAAGCCCCTATCTCAACAGCCCTGAGCATAAGATGGGGTCGGTAATGGTGGAGTCCATATAGACTCCGTAGTAAATGATGTTTTCATCGTGTGATGAGTTCGAGGAACAATCAGCTCTGAGCACGACAGAACCCCATTTTTTCCTTCCCACTGCCGGGCTTCCGATCTGGGTACAAGAGTCTCATATAATGAGGCAGCATAAGATGGATGACGTGTGACTAATGTGGACCTACCAAACTTTGCTGTACTAGAGATTTCCAACAAATATATTGATGTCCTCTTTCCTTTCCACTTGTTCATTGTGGTGAATTGGAGATAATTAGTGCATTCATATTACTTATCACGAACGTCGTTTAGCCGGAAAGTGCATAGAGCAGATTGCCATAGCGAAGAAATGGCACAATATTGTGGGCGGAAGAAGGTTCGCCCCGAAACTCAGTCACCAAGTCCAAGTCTAGAAGTCGGGTTTTGTCACCTACGGGGAAGCAGAACATTTCACTCCATCTATTCTCCCAGCCAAAATATTTTCGGAGAGTTTTGATTATCCTAGAACCTCTGCAATATTTGCAACATAACTGTTCCCAATTTGATTTTTCTCGCCACTCGCAACTGCCCACCCCTTAAATGAAAATCCCGCCGGTGCATCGTATCGAGCTGTTTCTGGGCACAGCCTCAAGTCGCACTTAAAGAGCGTCCGGGCGATGGTCATTTTCAGTTCTAATTCTGCCAGCTTCATTCCAACGCAAGACCGTAGCCCAGTTCCGAAAGGCTCAAAGCCCTCCAACTTCAGAAGTTGCGATCGGCACCCACGCGATAACCATCGCTCGGGCAAAAACTCGTCCGCACGATCAAAATAATTCGAGTTGCGCATGAGCGTGTAGAGAGATGTTCCAACGATTGTGCCAGGAGGAATGTACCGACCACGGATTGTCAGCCCCCCGGAGTTGACAAAGCGTGGAGACAGGTTTGGTACTGCTGGGACGAGCCGCATGGTCTCCTTGATGCATGCATCGAGGTATACGCAATGATTTAACTGACTTCCGGTGATGTCGTCCTCCTCGGTAAAACTCGTGCGGATCTCCCCAATGACTTTCAGCAGAACCTCTTGATTGTGCAGGAGATAGAAAAAAAGAGCACACAATGTAGTAGACGTCGTATCAGCACCTGGCAAGGATTTAGGTTAGGTAAATGACCATCATTTAAACTGGAAGTTGATCCTCAATTACTCGAGACATACCTGCCGCTAGCAGAAGGAAGCTTTCGACCCACATATCTTTCTCGCTATACTGAAGGGACCCGTCATTGCTTTTGCCCTCTATGAACAACGAAAAAAAGTCCTTTTAGTGATCTTTCCTCTTTAAACGTTCTTTGGTTCTTTCACGGGCCCATGTGCCAGCTGCCATGATATTGCGATAATCTCGCAGGAGAAACAACCGATCAATGTAGTACTGGAAGAATTTCGGTTGCACAAGACACTGTTTCGAATGTCAATAAATGGGCCCAGGGAAGAAACTAGACAGTGAACGTACGACCATGCTGCGCTGAGACATGATTTTATACGCGCATGGAATCCAGCGAAATTCGGGGCGCTGCAGCATATCACAACTCTCGCTGTATAAGAGATCACTAATGAAATCAAAAGAAAGCCAATCACACAGGTCCTGAAGATCATGTTTAGGCCCTGGATTTACTAGAAGGTCGACAAAGTGATTCAGTCTCCCGGAGATTCGACCTTCGATCTGCTTTAAACTATAACCAGAAAACATCTTCGAAATCGTTCGTCGCTTGAAGTTGTGTACTGCGTCATCAACAGCACTGAGAATATTGGGGGTACGGCGGCTAGCACTGAGCGCTTCCCAGATCCCTGGCTTGCTAATCAAAGAGGAGTTACGATAGATAACTTGCAGACTGGAAGAGGAGTTGAACGATAACTCATTGGGACCCGAACGAAAAACAGAGCCTAACGTTCATTAGTTGGTCGTGGCCTGGCCTGGAATTTGAACTCACCATATTTGTCATGCCACGTCTTATTTCGCAAATGCAGGATACCTCGCCAGGCGTAAAATGCACTGTACCAGCGAGAAATTGCTGCGAGTCGCGGGCCGGGATAACCGGACAAAGGGTGGAAAAACAGCCTATAAATAGCAAAAGCAAAGAGCTTGGCAAGGGTTAGCTCGATACTGGTATAGACAAGTTGGGGATAAGATTCCGCGTACATATAGTAAGGCTGCTATCGCAACAAGTTCGGCTGCAACCAAGGTCATGGATCCCATTCTGTATCTACAAACCCCCAAAGGTTTTGAAGTTTAGTCTAGTAAGAGCGAACTGGTACAAATGGTGGCTTCAAAACCAAGCTATGCGGCCCGTGGTATTTAAGAGTATAGAGTGACGTATTCGTTACTGGGACACTGCACATCACGTGTTTTGAATGCTTCCTTGGCGGTTACAAAAATCTGGATTAATTCATAATTGGAGAAGAAGCGTAATCCATTAGGACAGATTACACGAACATAATGAAAACTTGGAGGGAACAATTTGGCACAGACTAAAGGTAGGAGGATCAGGGTTGAGGAGCAATCTGCCAGCTAGAAGGCCAGAAATCCAATTGTGAATAAATGTCGCGCGATGATAAAAGTTCATGCTCATTTTGATCCAATATTGTTGGGTGAGGTTAAATTGGGCGTGCTCTTCGGTATAGTGCTGCAAATTGTTACGGCTCACTTGCTGGCAAATGGGGATCTTGCATACTTGCTCTCTACGGGCCGCGTTACCCCATAAAGTCTTGGAGAACCTGTGCAAGTGGGACAAGCAAAATAGCGAGAGTAGTGTCTTTCCGGAATCTAGACATCTTGGAACTTTTGCTCTAATCGGCATAACACCTTCTAGAGCTCACCATTGGTCAGTCCCAACACGTTGACCACACCACACCTCCTCGAGGTTGAACTAATATTGCAAGGAAAGAGCAGGAAGTCAGTCTAACGACAGAAATGTTGACAAAGGTTAATGAGCAATTTAATGAGTGGTATATTTAGCTGTGTGGATCGGAATCAATCGGGACGTTGGAAGCGTAGTGAGAAGTTGGCAATTAAGAACAATTTCTTCCAAGATTCTCAGCAGTTGATTGAAATGATCAATTTGACGTAATATATTTGTGTTAGTTAGGTTATCATCATCCTCAAAATCGTGTAGACCAACATAAACTTGTAATTTATTTCTGTACACCTGGGAGAAAATCCACTGAGTGCCCCCGTAACAATGATAGAGGTGTAGTAAAATGTAATTCGCATCTTTAGTAATATCCATGAGCCACAGTGAAACACAGATATTTATGCGGGAAGGAGGAATTTAATTAAGACCACAAACTACATTGGCATATTCTTATCCTTATAGTTTCCCTGCCTCAGGATTCTTCTCAGAATTGTATCAGGTATAGAGAGTGATCAAAAGAAACTATAATAGACGAAGAGTAATCAAAGAGCAAGTTAGTCAACAGAAATTATGCGCACAAATTAAGCAAAACCTGTTAGGCACTTCGGCACTCTTTTTTCCCAAATTTCGAATGGTAAGTAAATTGCGCGATTCATGATTACTGGCAGTTATTGTTCTCAAATATATTATAGGGATTCATCTTTTCTTGAATTAAGTAGGGATGTACAAGAATTATGCAACTTACAGACAGTGATGAACTTTGACCATATTTTTAGGATTCGAGATTGCGAGTTTCCCTTTAGAACAAGCTCGCTCACTATAGGTATTAAATTAGAAAGTTACAAGACCCTAGGAAATATAGAGCGTGAAATATAGAACGTGAATAATGACGGTTTTATGTTGATTTAAGGTGCTGAGGTTAGTGGATGGGCGTATTTGGACAGACGACTAAAGGGTCTATACGTAGCCTAATAACCACAGCAAAATAAAGGGCACAATGTGGTTGGAAGAGGTACGAAGATGATTCCAGTTGAGCGAATCATGTGAAAAGGTCAATAAAGCAGGGGCAACAATTGAATTGAAGAGGCAAAATCAAAAATAGTAAGTTTTGCGTGAAACGCTCTCAAACATTCGGTGAGATTTGGAAGAATTTAAAGCACCAACCATTGAGCAAAATTAGATACAGTAATTGGGCATCTTCCTTCCGTTCCGCTGGTTAACTAAATCGATTATCCCTAAATCGATTATCCTAGCAGATTCAATCGCTTTGGAAACTTATTTTTTTATGTCTGTCTATTCTAAACTTAATATATGGGTTTAGCTCTAATCACTTCAACGGCTTGAATTGTGGCGACCTGAGTGTGAACGGGCTAGATTAGGAATTTGATGGTAGAAGCAAACATGAATGAATCAGGATAACACTAAGCGGCCTCTGGTGAGGGGTCAGGGTAAATGAATTGTACACACGTGCTGAAAAAGCGGGGTTTTTGTGTTCACCGCCTTTCTGGGGTTCGGCCAAGCTAACTGAGGCAACCACTTAGCTCAAACCCCTCGAGGGATACCTACACCTTATCTTCGTCAGCGATAAACACTTCATTAACTAGCTAACTTGTTAGTTAGTTATGTAGGATTGTTTGACTAACCTACGCAGTAGTTAACTAGTCCCCCAATAGAAATACCTTGTGCTTATCCACTCACAATTTGCGCCTCCCCTGCTATTCTATTTTAGGCCCAATCTTATCGAAAATACCGAGGGCCTGAACCTAGAGACACTTGAGCGGAGATTGAAAATAGGTATTTGCAATCTGGTGAGCGTTCTTCCGTAGTGAAGTCTACAGGGTATTTCGAAATTGCTTCGGCAAGTACACACTAAGACTGTTTCTTGGGCAGCTGCTAAGGCCTTAGCTAAGATTAATTATTTAGCCTGTAAATAAGGTCCTTGCCACTTTGTTTCAATTTCAGTGGTTCTCGAGGATTTGAATTACATAATGAAAAAGGATCTGTGAACTATTGAATCCTAAGGCATTCCTATGCAGTAAGGGAACAACCTGAGACATATACAGTATGGATGGATGGATGGATGGTTTCATTTACGCTGACCCCTCGCGAACGATATGCAGCATACAACAACTATATATCAATGTAGGTACATGTGTCTTGTATCACTTCTTAAACGAACTTAGAGCCTAGTTGGGGCCTGCCGTGGCCTCGTAGCCGTTTTTTGGATTGCTGCCCTCATGGCGCGCGACTTTGAAACCGTTGTGATGCTTCTGCGAAGTCCAAGATAGCCTCCACCGTCTTGGCTCGCGGAGCAGCATCGCCTCCTCTAGGTCCTCCTACTCCCAGGAGGGTTGATATGCTTCTGAATGCGTCTCCAACTTTCTCCCGCAGTTCCCTGCGTAGGTGCCTCAGCGCGGGGCAGTCCAGGAGGACGTGGGTCACACTTTCCCGCGCGCCGCAGACACACCGGTCATCGTCGCGGTGACGGAACACCTTGGCGTAGGTTGATAACCAGCAATGTCCTGTCCGTAGCTGTGTCAGAAGGTACGCTCGGTTTCGAGGTAGGTTTCCATAGAGCTGTCTCGTGTATTTGGCTGGCAGTGCGTTGTCGATCTTGCGGAGGTGGCTGCCATTGCGGGATTCTTTCCATTCTCTTTCCCATTGGGAGTGAATGCCGTTCCTGATGTAGGCCCTCTCTCGTGATAGCAAGGGGGAAAATGGGTGTGTTTGGCCTGGTGTGGCCGCCTCTTTGGCTAGCCGATCTGCTGTGTCGTTTCCGGGTTCGTCGCAGTGTCCAGGTACCCACTGTAAACGAACTGCGATGCCATAGGTTTTAGTGTTCGTGGCTGTTCGTAGGATGGCGTGGACATATACAGTAGTTTTCGAATTCAGTTTGACCTCCCAACTCTTTCGTCTTGATTCCCGGAAAATAAATCCGGTAGACGCTAATCCTATTTTGTGTTACCGCTCTATTAGTTGGGCAGAACTTTGGTGGTAATTACTATACTACATTCGAGGACGTATTGTAAGCAACCTGTAATGGTACATCGAATCCCGTAGAACTGGTTGATCTGGCGATCTACCAAGACTTGTCTGCGAGCTTGGCGCCTTTCCCACTAGCCCGTTCATGTAAGGGCTCAATTCAATTAACCCTCTTCATGGAACGAACCATTTTCATTCCTGCTCCACTTTCCCCCTACATAGGTGGTAACATGCTAAGCTTGACTGATGTGATTTTGAGTGTTTACTCTAGATCTCCAATCTGCATGGCCCTTCAGGGTGCGACACTACTGCATTCTAAAATAGATCCCGAAATGAGGAAGGTAACAAATCGATGAAAGACCACGTGAGATATTAGAGCCTCAAGAAGGGCAAAACTGGTTGACTCCTTAACTCTATGTTCCCGCCTATTTGTGACCTGATAATACGCAAGTGTGCTTCATCATGTTCGGACGCCGGCAGATGCTTTCTGACGAAAGCATCTCTCTCGAAGCTTTAACATTAACAAGACCCTTCGCTCGAAGCGCTCTTATTTCTTGCGTTACCAGGCTCGGATTCAACGGTAATCTCAGCAATAGCTTGACCGACGGTAACAATGTCGCCTTCTTCAACAAAGACATGTTGTATAACGCCTGCCTTGGGGGCATGTACTTCGAGTGCAGCTTTATCGGTTTCGATGACTGCTAGCACTTCGTGCTGTTCCACATAATCGCCCACTTTGCGGTAGAAGGATTGTAATGTTGCTCCGTTCACGGACTCCCCACCTAGTGTCTCAATATTCACCTTGGTCCTAGAATCGTATCGCTGGGAGGAGATGCTGAAGGGCCGAAAAAGGTTGTACGAGGGAAATGGTATAAAGCGATAGGGTTGTTGATCGTAAAGGCTAGCTGGACTGTTTGCAACATATCTTTGGGGGCGACTAAAATGAAGGACTGATTTACAGAAATTGAGCGACCCCCTCGATAATATTGCTGCCATAGTGCGAAGGTGCAGAGAAGATAAATACTGTTAAACAATAAGATACCGTCAAATAAGAGTCCTCGTTCCACTAAATGTAGGGGTTTGGGCGTTTACTAACCTGACCGCACCGAATCCGAACTTGACCCACAGCTGCTTGAAAGATAAAGTGTTTTCAAGGCTGGGGGCTTGTTGAAGACGCCGAAAATCACGTGACCGAGCCCCTGCTTCGGACTAGACTATACTGTATTTAGAGTGGGAGAAATATAACGCCGATGAGAACCTTGCGAGGAAGAAAGACGTGTGCGTGTGGGAGCCGACATTGTGTAGTGAGGTAACCATCAGGAAATCTGTATTAATTCCAAAAACAATTTGACATTTCTTGACATTAGGGGTCGAGAAACAACAAAGGAGTGTACTCCGTAGCTTTCTGTGCGGATTGCTTGGTACCTAAGTTTCAAATATCCCGGAGCGTGGGAATGCTCTGTACCGTAGTCCCGTGTAAAATACGCCTGCCCAGTATTCAGACGTATTGTAAAATACATAGACTATTGTAGAAAGCGGTCTAGATTCAGATTCTTAAAATAATATCCAATCAGAACTCGCTTATTTAATATTTATTTTCCGGGAATCAAGTGAAAAGAGTTTTGAGGTCAAACTGAATTCGAAAACTACTGTATTGACGTCATTCTCAGGCACTGATGACTCCTGTTGCACAGTAAATTAATCGAGATGCAAGATACTTTTTATCGTCATGAAAATGGTCTATAAGGTTTGACCTCTCTCTTCTATTTTTCTACTTCAATTCACTTTCATTTTAAATCTCAATTTGCGGAGGCAGGGGTGAATTGCTTCAGAGCTTGAGTGTCAAAGGGCCCTTGCAAATAAATGGTAATGTCCTTGGGCTTTGGACACTCAGGTTTTAGATTATTAACAAAGTTGCATATCAAAATTGAGTCATCTTTATTGATATGATCCACGTTTTATAAACGATATCTGACACAACATCATATTGCCGAGGTTGGTGAACCTAGTCAAGTATCCTATATAATCATCCCAGGCAACATTCTACGCTTCAATATTTTATCTCATGATCCCATTTTTAAACGATGTCAAACACGGCTAATGATGACAAGGGGGACGCAAGCTTCTCGTCCAGTGATTACGAACTGGATTCAGACGCGTCTGACACTCTAGACGTAACCTGCTCTGATCATGAATCGGATTATGTCCCGTCGTCAACAAGTGAGGATAGAGCATTTGTAGTCTCCGATACGGAAGATATACCCTATTTTTCAGATACATCCACCGACAGCAGCGGAAATGATTGCCTTACTCGAGGATATATGGGCGGAGACAACATAGAAGTAAGCTTCAGTCTTTATACATTGACAGAGTAATTGCTTAAATGATCTTCTCAAGTCAACACGTCTCGGACAAAAAAGTCTGATAAAGACTATTTTACGACGGAACTTTCTTCGAAATGGCTGCCAAGAAACTCACTACCTGGTACTCTGGTCTTCGTGGGAAACTCGAGATACTATCCTTGCGATTGTTGACGGGTTATAAAATATAATTTAATATTGGAGCACTGTCAGGGAAAGTATCGGAGACTGCGGAATGAAGCTAAAACTTCCTAGAGGAAGCCGTAGCTATATGTGAATTTCCCAGTCAAGAATCGACATTCACACCTGAAACTGCTACGAGATGGCATGAATAGAAATCTGTTGCATTTGGTGAAAAATACAAAATTTATCTTCTTCCGCCTGAGAAAATTCAAAAATCAATATCACTTCCTAGCCTCGCAATGCTTAGTCGCCAATCTAACGGGATTCCTCGGAGATTTCGTTATGCAGTATACATTTGAGGAACTTGTTACTAGAGCGTATCAGGTTCTAATGGTATTCATAAGATATGGAAATTTAGGCACCAGTAGAACTGACTAGTTTCTTTTTTCTTTTCCACTTACCTATCAAGCAAGTGTCGCTCACAACATCCAACATTTCTATCGTGGCTCATAGGCTGTAGCAGGCGGACGCTAGGGGATTGGATAAAAAGCGCTTGGCCTTGTAGCAACATCGTTAAAGTGCTCCACAAATTGAATAGCGAATGGAGAAAAACCATTACTGCCTCGCTTTCTGTCAGCTGTTCTCAATGACGAGGCCTGTAGCCAAACTCGACCACTCCGAGCGGATTTATATGTATTTGCTCGCTCCAAACATCACTGAACGCAATGCTCATTCAACAATGAGAACACATTGCGATTTTGTTTCAATATACTACAAACACCAGTCTTAGAGGTGAAGTAGCATAGCTGGCATATTTTGAAAATTATTACTTACGTATATTACCAAAATTACATCCAGATCGAGCGATAGAGAGATGTACATATATACTTTTTTATCATTCCCCCACAATTATCTCGAGCCTGTAAAATTACTCAGTATAATAAAGTAAATACCAAGATAGCTTGAGACTATGTGATCCGATTCAAACGTGGAAATATGAAGTTCTGAAATATTATATGGGGTGTTTTGGTTGAACAGCTAAACCTGGTGACTCACTCTGCCGGATTTATGATATTGGATTTATGATATTCCGAGGGTATGTACTCGGCTGGCTGATAGCTGCACGTAATGGCCATGGCGATTTCAAAAACACTAGAAGGGTTTCAACATGGCGACTCCTAGCGACATGCTCTTGCGGTAAGCCAAGATCCCCCGTACAGTTTTTCTCTTCTGCCTGCCTGAGAGAAAACGCTGGAAGGATAGATTAAAGGGCCCAAAAGAAAGCCATTCTGCAACGATAGACTGGATGCTGAGTACCGCTGCTGGGGCTGAAGAATTCGGCCGTTTGGTGCAAAAAAGTCCTTTTTTGACGACGCCTGCACCGAATTATGCACAAGAATGCACCGTATAGTGCGACAGTCTTCACTTGTGCCGGGATAGGAGATGATGGCACGCTCCCCCTCTATGGGTAGTCAGACCGGGAACACTTCAGGCTAGGCCTCTACGCAAGAATAGCGCCTTGCGCTTCCTGACTTCCTCCTTAGCAGCTAGTGCCCAAATTTGTTGCCTTTTCTGCGTGTAATCAGCTAGTTGGGTGAATCCTCACTTAAATAGCAAGTCTAGTTATCACTCGGGAGATACCTTGTCACCTGCCGTGTAACCCGCCACAGACGCTAAATAGTCAATAGTAGTAAGAATGATAAATTCCGCGGTGCATCCACGACACGCTAGTTATAAAATATGTAATATTTGTAAGTGGCCAGCTAAGTGATTAATTGTAATTCCCACCCGAGTCGTCCGCCCCAAGCACCCTAGCAAAGGCGATATTTTGGATTATGATACTTCAATCTACAAGGGTTTAAATAAGCTATAGGATACTCAAGTATCAAATAACCGCCAAGACCGAACCGCCCGGCTCTTAAGACAATGAATCCAGACGCACCCAGAAATTCGCGAAGGGTCTTTGGCAGCTCTCTTAGCGGTCTGCGGTTTGCGGTTCTTAAATTCTTCAGGCCTGCATCAGCCGTTTAATCAAGAACTTCGTACATTGTTCGCCCCACCAATAGTCTTTACATGGCCATATTACCACATGAAAAATCAAGTAGGGATTTATATGATGAATTAGAGTTGGAGGTCTGATCGGCTCAACTATGTGTACACCAATCGCAGGGGGTTTTTGATTCGTGAGCGGTCGGGGCCGGATTCATTTACGTTGACGCAGACGATTTAACCACAAAATCAGTGGTGATTGCTATGAATCCTCGGAAAAGCGAGAGATTTCCCGATACTGGGAGTCATCGAAAGGTAGACCCGTTTGTTCATGTCCAATATAAGTGGGGTCCTTCCTGGCATGCGGCAGACCTCTGTAGTATAAACGATGCAAAAAGAAAATTCCACAGAAAACCACTGCTGCGCTGGAAATGCTGCCCAAAATGACTCCCAGGGCTTTTTTATGAACTGGCATTGATGTTTCGCTCCCGTCCAGTGTGGCTGCCAATGTTGTACTAGTGATATGTGCCAAATCAGTGGAAACTGTCAGATGAGAGAAACCAGTTGTTAGAGTGGATGCCTGTCCCTCCTGCTTTGAGTTTAAAATTGATATAAACAGAGACACAGAAGGATCCACGACAGTAGTCTGTGTCTGCAGCGTCTGAAGTGTTTGTTCAACATGTTTTAAAGGGGATAGTGAGTGAAGAAATAATGAATCTTCGACATTTTCTTTATCATTGGTTTCACGATCTAGGTGAGAGTCTAATACGTCCAAATCTAGTGATATGGTTTCAACTGACGCGTGATCTTGTCGCCCGTCTCCTGGTGCTTTGCTTATTGAGAGAAGAGTGCCCAACGGACGCGTTTCACTCAGATGCCTGGATGTAGACACCAACGGAGCTACATCCACCATTATTCCGTTAGACTGAAAACTCTTCGAGGCGTACGTTGGAGTGTGTGTAAGTCCCTCAAGATGTAAAGGATCATGCGCTGACGTTGTTACCAAAGCGCTCATGGATGATTGCGTGGGAACCCTTCGCTGAGTAGTAGATGTATCTGCAGCAACCTGGTTCTCATCCCGTGATATGGACGCTGGTACCTGCTCCTTGCTATGCATATTTGTCATCTGATACTGACTCACCGCCAGATCAGTCAACTCAGGCCGTTGCGGGGGCAATGGTTCCGATTTATTCACCGGGGTCAATCCATTTCTGTGTGTTTTGCTCGGAATTATTTGATTGGACTTCCAAGTTGGATCGTCAACGTCGGTTAGTTGGGAGTGGGAAAAAGTGAATGAAAGTTCGGATGATGTTGGCTGGGAGCCGTGATAGGAGATCTGCGACGCCTGCAAGCCACAAGATAGTTGTGTCGATCTGGAACGGGTGGGTACACTAGGTGGTGGGGTTTTTATCCACGAACTCATGGACAACAAATCAGGTCTGCACTCCACAGTCTTGGATGCGTAGGCGACGATCAGACTCTCACTCTGTGAGAGATACGCCTGGTCCTGCCCATTTCTCATTGAGTCTGTCATCTGGCCTGAGCTATTTAGCAGGCTAGTCGACTTCGGTCGTTCTTTTGCTTGTAGTTCGGAGCCAATGGCTGCGATAATTCCATATTGGTGTGTTATGCTGGAGGTGATTGAGTTTCTCCAATTTGAACTAACAGTATTGGTCGGCCGGGAGTGAGCCGACGCGAA